CTTCCATAAAAAAGGGAGCAAATGCAGCCACAAATACTGCAGTTTTTTTCTGTGGAGTTTTTTCTCTCTTGTTGATATTTTGCACAGAATAATGTTCAATTTGTTTTTTGAGATCATTCAAATGTTATTTAGCTTTGGTAATTTCATTTGATAGTTGGTGTAATGTATCATTTTTTTTTTGTTATTTCATACTGTAGAAGATTGTTGGTCTTTTTCCCCTTTCTCCTGTGTCTCTTGGTTGACAATCAAATACAATTTTTTTTTTTTTTTAAATTTTGGTTTAACATTAAAATTTGCATGAAGAATTTTTTCTAAGTTGGTAAATCCACAGTGCTTTCTCCTATTAATAGTTGCTCTGAGAGTCAGTAATCTATTAATTTTTGAGTGTAAGGTCTGTGGATTTATTTCTGTTAAGTCTGTGCATAATTTCTGTATAATATTTATAACACAGTTAATGTCTGATTTTAAATATTTATGCAACTGAAGAACAACTCCATTGTTTATTGTTTTATATTGAATTAAAATGTTTCCCTCATCAATATTGTGGCAAGTTACTTTCAAAGCTTCACAGTGTGGTCCTGGGTATACATTTGCCATTGTAATGCTAGAAAGAAAAAAATAATAAATAATATTTGGAAAAGAATGTATTATAACAAAATTTTTTATTTAAATTAAAACTTAAATCACAATTATCGTGTTACACAATGCAAAAATAAAGCATCCTTTTTCTCAAGAGTTATTCAAAAATATTTGTTTCTTGAACTTTTAAACTTTTTATTTATAATTAAATCAATACAGTTTTAGTTAATAACTGTCGCATTGGCTTTCCAAGCTTAATAATTAATAAATCAATTTATAACATTGATAAATTATTTTTTAATTAAAATAATGAAAAAGAAAAGACATTTTTAGCAAAAAATATTTTCAATACACAAATACCTAAAAGCAATGAAATTTTAAAAAAGAAAAACTTAGTTTTTTTGCATTTTTATGTTTCATGGCAGATGTTCTGCAAACTAGTATTTTTTGCTTGTAATGAAAATTCTTCGAAGACTTTTTAAAGTTTTTTTTGTGTGGAAATTTCATAATATTAAATGACAAACTTTAAAACATATTTCTACAAAATTCGAAGAAAAAAAAAAAAAAAAACAGTTTCAAAAAATAATTTCGTTAATTACCGAAAGTAATAACTTGCGAAAATTTCCTTAAAAATCCGATAATTTTATTTTTATATAGACGTCATTTAAAGAAATACTGTTTTTCAAAATAAAAATCATACAAAATTCTTTTAAAAATGGAAAATTATTTAGTATAATTTGACGTTTTTAAAACTTCTTAGCACGAAAATGTCCTTAAATTTACCCAGGAGAAATGGGGAAAAGAGAAAGGTAGACTGACCGCTGGTGCGTGGTGACATTTTTGTTTACGTTTTACAGCTCACAATTTTCAGATTGTTTTTTCAAAAATTGAAACTTTAACAAAAAAGCCTGATGTTAAAACATTATCAAAATTTCCCAAAATTATGTCAAATCAAAATAATTCTGAGACTATTTTCTAGTGAAATATTGTTCTTTTTTGCTTACCTTATAACTTGTGAAGGAACCTCTGTCAAATTTGCTCAGTTGTGTTTTCGCTTCCACGAGTCGGAGAAGAAAAAACAAAAAAACTTCCTGGTTTTAATTTAAGCTGTCTTCTGATTGGTTGTAAAATTTCAAGAATATTGGTAAAGAACGAGTGATCACTTTGCTTTTGCAAAACAAAGAAACAAAACTGAGCCTCGAAAAAAAACAAAAAAAATCATATTTCGTATTTTCGGATGCTCGAAGAAAAATACCGTTAAAAAACTTAATTTGCTGTAAAAAAACAAAAACAAAACAAAACAAAAAACAATTCTGTGGAGAAAAGCGCATAAAAATTACATATTTGGAAAGAATATTTTTTGTTTTCTTTCTCTAACCATATTATAAATATTTTTTGTTTTCTTTCTAACCATATAAATATTTTAAAGATTGAGCCAGGAATAAGCGAGAAATTGTAAGTTGAACCGGATTAGGGTACAAATTTGTCAAATGTCGCACTATAATGGCTGATGGACTGGGAATGCTAGTAAGAGAAGCCTCTACCTCGAGTAGCTCTTGGGCCTTGTAAAACTTGCAAAAAAAAAAAAAAAAAAAAAAAAAAGGGTTAAAAGGGCGTGTAAACACCAACCGCCAGTTTTTTTCGTTATTGATAACAAACATAGAACTAGCATGTTATGAAAATATTGATCAATTTTTATTTATTTGTTTTACCTGTTAATTTACAACATTTTCCCTCGTTTGAAATAACGCCCGTAGAAAATCATGACTATGATTTTTCTTCAAATTTTTCTTTTTTTTAGGGAAGCTATTTTTCATGCATTAAATCCCCAAATTTTGTATTTTTCAATTTATTTGTTCCCGAACAATCTGTTTCATGCACAATGTAAAATACGGACAAGCTTATTTGAAATTTTATTGCAAACCAGGAAAAATAGTCTGACTGGAATAATAGAGAAATAAGAATTCTTTAAAAAATTTTGCTGGTATTCAACCTTAATTGTGACCCGGATATAAGAGAAACCCGGATATAAGAGAGATTTTCTGGTCCCAAATTAGAGCCTGTGTTAAGACCAAACCTGGATATAAGAGACTTCGTCTCCGGTCCCGACAACTCTCTTCTGGGTTACACTGTAGTACTTAGTTTTCAATAGTTTGCAATAACCAGCTGATACATGTTCACAATTTAACCTAAAAATATTTAGTTCATCAGTGAAGTCATGCACTATTTCCTATTTTATGGACTTTTGAACACTGTGTGAGAAATAAGCAACTTTTTATTTTCTATGAATTTTTCATATTAAAAAAAGGCTTGTGATACAAAAAGGAAGATATAGTTGAAATTTCTCGGGTTTAAAAAAATATGACACTCACAGGACATAAAAGCTAAAAAGGCAGGAGGGATAGAAGAAACGATGCATAAACATACCCCTTGAGCTTGTGTTAGTTGACAGAACATAGCAAAAAAGGACATAAAACTGAGCGCTATGATTGCTCACGTCATAGACATTTTTTGTGACTTCTTTTTGCTGTGTTGTTACTTGTTTGATCAAAAATCTGGTAAATTGTTGAGTTTATGAATGTCATATGCAGAGACAGACAGTAAAAAATCTTTTTTTTAAGCAATAACTGATTCTTAGACATTTATTTATTTATTAATTAGTTTAACAAAAAATATATACAATTTTGATTTCTCTGAGTGAAAATCAGAAAATTAAAAAACTAAAACATTTTCTGCAGAAAATAAGTTAAAAAATAAAAATGAAAATAGTTAAAAATGAAAAAAAAAACAGTTAAAAAATAAAAATGAAAATTTTAGTTTATTTAAAAAAAAAAAGAGTGTTTAATTAAGTTAAGTATCAATGAAAAAAAAAATGAAATTTGAAAATATTGTTCTCGGAGAAAAACAAGTTACGGTTCGGGTTCTATATTTTGTTTTTAAAGATAAATTTGGTAATTTGTAAAAATTAAAGTTTCAAATTAAAAGTCACCATCATTAACTTCACTTTTAACGCAACAAGATAATTTGGAAAATATTGTGTAATTTTTTCCTCTGTAAAAACAAAACAAAAAACAATTCTTTATGGAAAGGAATTTTCGTTTTCTGTGTTCAGGGCATAAAATAAAATTTAATAAATAAATTAAAAGCATGATGAATTATTAATAAATCAAACAAAAACAATTTAATACTGGGATAATCATTACATTTGATTAATCCAAGAAAAAATTGAGGATTTTAGTCCTTTTTCTTTCTTTATGTTCCAAGAGAAGAACGTTGTATTATTGACACTTCGTTTCCAAGCATGGATTATTGAAAAGAAAAACAGAACAGAAAATTTTCCACAACTTATAATTTAATACAAAATCTTTCTACCGAAGTAAATGCTTTTTCCCTTACTTTTTAACAGACATCCTTAATAATAACAGTAATAATAATAATAATAACCTAGAGATACAATTTTAATTCCGCGGCAATACTACTACTACTAATTATTCCATTTTTTTTTTTACCAATCAGTTGAAGACCGTGGGAAGAAGGTTTTTTTTAATCTTACTTCTTACAAATATTCATGGAGTCGTTGAAAATAGATGTATTTTTGTTGACCAATAACATCAATGGAAATACATTAAATTAAAATTTAAATAAGTCATGCTGAAAAGAACGGACAAATTGCTAAGTTAAAAAAAAGTCAATGTAAATTCGTATCACAGTGCGTGCATATTTTTGCCACCTCAACAATAACAAATGAAATGAAAAATAAGAATAATGCTAATTTATAATTTTTTTAAAAATTTGGCTTTTTTAGAGAGTTAAGAAATATATATATATATATAAATCTTGGTTGATTAGTAAATTAGTCAGCATCAGAATTGTTTACGTCAGAAAGATGAAAAAGAAATTTATAATTTTAAAATTTAATTGATTTTTAAACTTTAAAAATAAAATTACAAAAAGATTTTATGCACCAAAGTTTGCATTTGTTTTTTTTTTATTTATAAGAAAACAAACATTTTTCTATACGTAAGTTTCATGTTTTCAAAAAAAGAGGATGCTGAGAATTTTGGTACATAAATAAACTAAATTTTTTTTAAGACATTTATTAAAAAAAAATACTGTAGTAAATTTGGGGTCTGATAATTTACTTTCAAATTTTGTGAAAAAATATGACTGGATTTTATTTTTAACTCAATTTTTATCTTAAAGGATAATTTTGTATTTTTTGTTTGTTTTTCTCTCAGCTTAAGAAATTTAGGAATAATGAAATAAATGTCATGCCTTTGGAAGGTGAATTACTTGTGATAACCAACGGATAAGAAGAGAACATAATAAGCTATGAAAGCGAGCGACCGTTGTATTTAATAAGTAGTGGATAACATCACAAGAAGATGGATATTGGATTAAGTAATAAAAAGCATACAAACCAAGTGGCAAAATATGTGAAGCTGGGGGATTCAGGAAGCCAGAAAGATGAAATTCTTGCTGCAGCAGTTAACGATTATTTCGCCTCACAAGTCATCGAGTCACATACATAGCGCGAACACACACACAAGGAATAACAAAAGCAATACAGCTGTGTCGAGGCAAACAGCTAAGGTATGGCCAAAATTGGGATTGGCGAAAAGGATCTCTGGAAACATCATGCTTTCTTCTATCAATGAAAATAAGCTCTCAATTATTCATTTTCATTTTCCTTAATTTTAAATGCTAAGTAGATAAAACATTATATTAGTTTTAAACTATTATTTAAAAAATAATCTTAATCAAACATATTCATTTTTTTTTAATAACGAAGTAAATTATGGGAAAATTTATATTAAAAGAAGTAAAAATTTGGTGTTTAGTTTGTATTACATAAAAATGACTTGCTACTGAATTTCTTTTAAGTTCACAATCCCTGCAATTTTGTTAATTTGAATATATTTTTCAAACGGGCAAATATAATTAAATTAATAAAACCAGACACATGGGATAGGGGAAAAATGAGGATTTTTGAAAACTTCCAAATTTCCTTTTCATATGATGAATGAAACAATTTAGAGAAGACCTCTTAATTTGAGATTGAAATTATTTCAGTTGGTGTAAGTAGTTTATATTAAGTCTTAATAAGACGCTTAATATTTATGGACTACATTGAAAAATGCAATGACCTTCAGATTTTACTATATAAATTATTAAAAAAAAATATGTTAATTACACTATTACACTTTTTAGGAACTGAGACGCTGAAATTAATTTTTATGCATATTTTAAATTAAGTAAACGAAATATATTTTGTTGTTGATATACCTTTTGTAAGTGATCAGGTTACGTACATCTTATGGAAACTGAGGTCATTATTAATTTTTTGTGCAGGTTCACTTTTAAAAGTAAGACTAATGATATAAAATCAAATTTAGCTTTGTCTAATGTCAGTGTTTGTTACAACTATGAAAGAGCAAACTCACTATCAATGATTTATGACACGACAGTGATAAAGAAATAAACAAATAAAAATAAATAACAAGACCAAATTTCACCAAATAGACGGATAATAAAAATCGCCAGGCGAACAAAGTCATGCCAATCAGAAAGCTTTCACAACCAAGATTTAGGCCGCGAGCCAATGAGAAGCAGAGCTCCCTTTTTCGAAGCGGATCTATAGATGCATATATAACTAGATGGACAATCAACCAAAATTAATTAAATTCTCCGATGCTGCTGCCACCCGTAATATACCCAGAGACGAAATACGATATCTGCACGACTAGCTGGCAACCATAGACGGCTAAGTCGTCCTTGAAAAATTGCAAACAAACATATCTTTTTTCACCGCGCGGTGAAATGGCGGGTACCACATTTTGATACAAAACATTCATAACACGTATACATTTAGCTACTTCTGTAGTGAGTCCCGATAATGTATATATATATATATAAACACACACACACACACACACACACATACATACATACATATATATATATATATATATATATATATATATAAACAAAATTAAAAAGAATTAAATTAAAATAAGGCATTTATGCTTTCTTTTTAAACCCTTATCTCTCTATACTTCTCTCAACCTACGAGAAGACAACCCTCAAATGAAAACAGGAGGCAGAAGAAAAAACTGAACTCGGTCAAAAATACCGGAAGTTTGCAGGAGCAGAGCATACTTATTCGTGACTGAAAAATACCAAAAGTCAGATATGCTCCAAGCATAACTACAGCTATAAAAAAAAAAAAAAAATGAAAATAAAAGAACGCCGGAAAATAAAATAATTTTGGTCAATCAAAAAAATTGATACAAAGAAACTTTTTGATGTTAGCCGAAACCAATGTTCGCGCAAAATTCTCCAGCCTGGTCAAAAGTATATAAACCTCTGGGCTAGAGGCAGATGAGACGAGGCGATGATGGAACAAAAGAACGCAGCTAAGATGTCAACTAGTAATGATATTTTCGTCCTGTTAAAGGTTTAAAATGTTTTTTTTGTTTAAAAAATGTTTCTTTAAGCTTTTATTTTAGTTTTAATTTCAAGCTAATAGATTAAATGCAGTATTTCCAATAAAGAAGAAAATACTTTGCTGTATTTCAAAAACTAATCTAAAATGACTAGAAGGCGAATTTTTTGCTAAGATAGCTGGTTAGCGGCACTTTTTAGTCATCTTTCATAGCAATGTAACTCTTGTTATTAAAAAAAATCTTCCAAAAATAAAATATATTTTTCTAAAACTTTATTTGAGAAATATTATCTGATTTAAAGTATAATTAATCCGATTTGAAACAACTGTTATTTACTTTAAATTTTAAATATCGCAGAAATGCATTATTTTAAACCGACACTAGCTGTTTATTTAAGGTGTTGGTGGTTTTGACAGCTTGATGACAGAATGATATTTACCTAATATTGTTCTACGGGGCTTTAGATGTTAAAAAAGTAATTGAATTAATATGAGCACCTTTTATATATAATTTTTAAATACTCAGTAATCTTAAAAAATTAGGAAAATATTCTCTGTCATCTAATGTTTTATTGAATTTTAAATATTTTTGGCTGTAATTTTACTATATAGTTATCGCTCCTATTTTCTAATATTGTATGTGGGCGACCGTATATAGAAAATTAGCACTTTTATACACATAAAAAAATTCAAAATTATTTTAAAATATTGGTGTTGATGCTTTGTACTAAGCTTTTCAATTTATGATTAATATTTATTTTTCAGCGCTGCCACGTCGCTACTGAATGTAACACAAGGTCAAGATTTAAAGTGGGTTTAATAGCACTTCGCATTTTGTGGACACCTCAGGCGCCGGGTAATAAACCCAGCGCCCTCCATAAGAAGAGTCACTGCCTGGGGGAAGTTTTCACTTAATAATAATACTATATAAAAGGACCAAATTAATACAGAATTTTAAAAGATTAAAAAAAGTAAAACTTAATAAGTTATTCTAATTAAAACGTAAAAAATGAAAACAACTCTTATAAAAATAGTTTCCTCAATATATCTTATTTATAAAAGCAATTAAAAGCTTTTCTAATTGAATAATGTCTTGATTTAATTGCATTTTTTATTTTAAAGTTCAGAGCAGATTTTCGGTAAATGTGTTACTGTTTAAAAAAAAATTGATGGTTTGCATTCTCCAAGGAGTCCTGCTTTTAACTAATATAAATATGATGAAGGACAAAATTTAATTTCTCGAAATTTCACTAAGTAAGGGTAACAGATGTAAAAAAAAAATTCTACCAAAATTTTCTAAAAAAAAAAAAAAAAATTCTAAAATAATTTAATTCATTTGTGAATGATTCCTGAAAATTTCTTTAAAATCCGACAATTATTTGGTTTTTGCAAGAATTTCCAACTCAGTATGTTTTTACCACAAAAAGACGCTAAAATTTCCTATACTTGTGGTGGTCACTCACATCATAACAGCAGAAATAGCATCGTGTTCACGGGAAATAAAAACATGTTGCAGAAAATAAAACATACAGAGCTAACAGTGAAAGCATGGTAAATTGTACATTCATATCGTACAATTTATTTAGTTTTTGTCTATCGATGTGTGTATTTTTAGTTACAAATGTTTCATGATTGTATGTGATAAAAGGGAGAAGTCATTCCGTATTATTACACGCCATATTACGCAGAGAGAAGTGGGACACATGTTGATTGTTCCAAGGTTGTTGGCGAAGAGATTGAATTCAACGTCTTTGGCGGGATGTCCGTATTTCTGGCAGGAACAGTTTTCGTTGCATGCTGGGAGAATTTTTATTATTTTTATTTAGTTTATTTTAAACAAGGTTTAAATATTATTGTTATATTTTATTTTAATTATAATTTTATTATTATTTTTATTCATTTTTAATAATAATGTCTTTACATACTAATCTTTGCTGCTTTTGCTGACGCAAGAAAAACAATATTTTTAACCGAAATGTCGAACGTGCTAGAAAGGAATACAAAACTTAATAAAATAATAAAAATACTTTATTATTTTCTTTCAGCAATAACATAAACATTTTGACGATAAAAATTTGTTTTTTCAAGTTTGTGGCCTTTTTTCTCAAGTTTGTGGACCTTTTTCTCAAGTTTGTGGCCTTTTTTTATCAAAAAACGGCTAAAATTGCCATTATGGCAATTACCTTTAATGTTTGTTTCTGTTCTTCAGTTTCCTTTTTTAGGCTACATCACCAAATGGGATAGTCTTTTTCCTGATTTAGTTGAATTAAGTTAATTATTCAGCTCACTTGTACTGTCTTATTAAATATCAATGAATGAATAAAAGTCGGTCAATCAATGTAGTAATAATAGACTTTGTAATGTTTACTTAGGTAGTTATTTGGCTTTTAATGCACATGCTTAGTAATTTTACTGAGTCTCAAAACTATCTGTATTCGGAGTGGAAAGTGTTGCGGGAATGGAAAGTATTATTTTATGCCTCTGCTACATTTGTCCCGTAAACACAATTTGGCGGAGTCATGTGAGTCTGGACAAAAAACGAACACACAACATGGAATTCAAACAAGCAACAATTAGTAAACGTTTTAACAAGAAATGTTACAGAAAGATAAATAAAGAAACGAAGTTGGAGTTATGAACAGTTCAATACAATCTTCATTCCGTGTCTCTGAAGTACTTTTTTTAAATTTCACCCCAAGCAAGGCAACAAAGCCATTAAGACGCGGAGGGGGGGGAAGGGGGTGGCTAGTGAGTGTGAAAGAATATATAAAAAAAGTATAAGAGGGAGAGAAAACAATAAAATAACAGAAATTAAGAAGACAGAAAATAAAAATTGACATTGCATTTAAATTTTGGATAATCAAACTTGACTGGAAAGCAAGACACCAGAAGAGAGTTCCACAAGCGAGAAGTGCGAGAAAACAAAGTGTTACCATAGAACTTACGGTTACATCTAGCCATTTGAACTGTAAAATGATGAGGTCTTACCGCCAATCTAGTGCTGCACTTAAATTAATAGAAGAAAATTCAATTTATTTAAAATTTTTGTAGATAGATTGTTAGAGGATAGGGTTATGAATATATTGTGTTGTCGATGTTAGAAGTTCTATCGGCGGTGTCAATGTCTACCAATCCAAAAAAATAAATATCGCCGATAACACTTCTGACATCAAAAAAAAAAAATTCATAATC